TGTGGGTGGTCATGGATCTTTTCTGCTTCCTTCAATGACATTATAAATGCTATTGGTATTTAACATATGGAAAACTATTGTGTAAACACTGTAGACTTAGCTTCTGGGAATTGTGAGAACTTCAGATAGTCATCATGAGGGGAAAAAATGTGCAGCAGATGATATGGAAGGTTCCACCATGGACATCCCCAACATAACCACATGAACAGAAATGTTTCCTAAAGCAACACCATTACTTGAAGGCACCTGGTGGTAGGTGGTTAAAATAGCAGAGATCACTGGAAATGTCTACACTCTTGGCTCTTGTGAGTACTGTAAGGATTAAAGTGTGAAGTTCTTAACACAAAGCCTCAATGTGGCAGGTGTTAATGTTGCTATTAGGCATGATTCCTTATAATTCCTGCATCCATTTCTTCATAGGAGTACCAACTACTTTTCTTAAGGAATTAAACATAATTGTTGAAAATGGTTGGGTTTATGGAAAAATGCACCCCCCAACATATCCAAAGAGGCTAATGAATTTTATTGAAAGGCAAAAAGAAAAAAAAAGTGATAGTTCTGTTCTACTCTTAACAATACTATTCTGAGTCTGTGTTAATACTCGACTATGGAGCATGCTAAAAGTAGTTATGGGAATCAGGCATCAAAGAGGGACCTTTTCTTTCAAGAATCAGCATTCGACCCTGCATTTGCTTATATCTGTGGAAGAACACAGGGTGGGGGGAGCTTAAAAAAATTAAAAGCCCTGGGTTTTCCAAGAGTAAGAGTAATTTTCAATCAATTCAAATTGCTATTACTTAGGATATGATTCTAAGCTGTTCGCCGCATCTAAAAGCCTTGGCTTGTAATTTTTTACTTTTCTAGATGTCAGGAACAGAAGCAGAAAAAAAAAAAGAAAATTTGTATATGAACATTCTGAATCCTGAGTCCTTTTCTGAATTATGCCTGATCCTCCTGGCAGAGGAAGTTCCACTGAAATGACACAAGCATGGCAAATGTTGGATGCCAAGTTCTTGAAGAAAACATTGCTTCCTGCCCTGGGCAAGGAGAGATTGGGATGTTTGCAATTACTTTGGGAGTTTCAGTTAGCTGTGACTGAATGGTGATGGTGAGGTTTAAAAGGCAGAAAGGAAGGGGCTGAATCATCTAAGGACCACACAAATTGGCTAGGTCTAGTGCCATTGGAAATAGATCATGTCTTTATCCCTCCTTAGGGCAAGGGCAATCAGAAATGGAGCATCAGCAATGGACAGTTCTAATAATGGGGATGTATCATAAAAGTTGGAGTACATTGGCAGAAACAAAATTTAGCAAGTTAGGAGTCGCACCACACTTAGAATGACTGATTGACTGATAGGCTGATTGATTTAGTTATTTAGGGAAGGAACTCACGCCTCACCCCATCACTTTCTGGTTGTAAGTAGAAGCACTCTGCCTAGAGACAGACCTGCTCTTAACACACTTGGCTACACTGCCACCTATTTAACCCTCTTTGAATCTAGTCACCCTTTATAGGAACTACTGGTAACACTGAGTTCTGTTGCCTAAGCATGAGAGAATGAGAGTCAGAAGGTTGAGGTCTGCAGGGGAATTTAGGAGCTCATCCTTCAGGTGGAACTGAATGGGGGGAAGGAATAGGAGAATAGGAGAGTGGGGCCATCAACAGTGTCACCCCAACCACAGTAGGAGAAACTTGTGAAATACAGAGAAGGCTGAAAGATGCTGAGAGGAAAATAATATATCTTCTTTCATTCTTGGAGTCCAGTGCTTTTCCTGAAAATACATTTGCATTTTATATTCTATTCATAACAATGAAGATGTCTCTCTTAGGATTGAGTCAAAGCTCCAGTAATATGATATAAACGTATGATGTGGTTTCCATTGGAGTCACACATTGTTGCCATACATTTGCTCAATGGACTTTTGAAACATTATTGTCTGACCTTTAGTTCCTGAATAGAGTTCACTGATTGTTATCAACTTTCCAGTTTCTACTCAAAACTAGGGGCCAAAGCCTGACAAGGGCCACTCTGCAAGGTCCTTCCAGTTAACTCACTAACAATTAATTTCCAGTTGAGTATATTCTGTAAGTGTACTCTCAACATCTTTTTAATGACCCACCCCTGTGAAGTTTCTCAGAATCTTTTTTTTTCCTAATTGTTCTTCTTCCATAAAATGTTAATGCCCAACATAATTTATATATTTAGTTATGCAGCTGTGGTTTTTTGTGGGGGGGTCACAAATCATTGCATTAAGATCTGGACCCCAGCCCAAACTAATTTTTACTGCCATAGAGAAGCATGCTTTAAAACTCTTGATGATTGTAGCTCTTCCAAAATGATGTTTGCCTCTTATAATTGCTTTTTTTTTTTTTTTTTGGTACCAAGGATTGAACTCAGTGACACTCCACCAATGAGCCACATCCCCAGCCCTATTTTGTATTTTATTTATTTAGAGACAGGGTCTCACCAAGTTGCTTAGTGCTTTGCCATTGCTAAGGCTAGCTTTGAACTAAGGATCCTCCTGTATCAGCCTCCCAAGCTGTTGGGATTACCGATGTGCCACCACACTCAGCATAACTGCATTCTTTATTTGTACAGTTTCCATTTATTTCCTTATCACTTACTTTCCCTAAGTAATTGGAAGTAGAGCTGCATAGGGCCCACACACAGCAAGAAGCATCAAGGGGTGCTTGTCCTTTCTCCAACACAAATAACTATTCCCCAGAATATGACTACCAGCTGCAGCTGCCAGATCTGAAACATACAATTCAGAGGTGTCTAATTGAAAAAGAAAATAAAGATTTGTTTTTCCTGCTAAGCTTAAGGAGGAGCAGAGTGTGAGGTATATCCCTGTCAGATGTAGAATAAAGATTGATAAAGTAGTTTAGGGGACCTCTCCACTACTGCCAGTGGGATAAAATGAATTACCTAACATGGTTTCTCTGCCATTCTTTCCTGTGCCCAGTAATCCGACAGCTAGCATATCTATATAAAAGAGGATGTTTTCTGGAAGTATTAAGCATATGAGTTGTCACCTGCATTCACCTGCTAGGGCTGCTATAACAAAGTGCTGTAGACTATGTGGTTTAATCAGCAGAAATATATTTCCTCACAGTTCCAGAGGCTAAAAGTCAAAAAGGAAGGTGTTACAAGCCTTGTCTTTTTGTGAGTCCTCTCCTCGGCAAATAGATGGCCATCTGTTCCCTGTGTGTTCATGTGGTCTCACCCCTGTGTAAGTCTGTGTCTTAATCTCCTTTTTTTTTTATAGGTACACCAATCATATTGGTTTAGGGCTCATCCTAATGAATTCATTTTAAGCTAATTACCTCTATGAAGCCCTATCTCCGATATGTCACATTTTGAGGTACTAGTGGGTTAGGATTTCAATATATGAACATAATTCAGCCCATAATATCATATAAGATGAGGTACAAATAAGACTCTCGTGGGTCACAAATACACAAGTTAACCAAGATGTTCCTGTTAAATCCCCTCTATGTTTCTCACTGGCTGAATGTCTTCAGCAACTCAGGTAACCTGTGTGACTTCCATTCACTTTCAACATATGATACTCATTCTGTCTCAAAGGATGGTTTTAGGAATTGAGTCTAATTAATTAATAATAGCTAGAACTGATAAGTAAAGATACAAGTCAAGCATGTAATTGGCTTATAGTAATTGGCTTATAGTAATTGCTCAATAGTCAAGGAGGGACCAGGTATGATGGTACGTGTCTGTAATCCCAGTGGCTCGGGAAACTGAGACAGGAGGATCGCAAGTTCAAAGCCAGCCTTAGCAAACTTAGGCCCAAAGCAACTCAGTGAGACCCCCCATCTCTAAATAAAATATAAAAAAAGGACTAGGGATACTGGCTCAATGGTTTAGCAACCCTGGGTTCAATCCCCAGTACCAAAAAATAGATAGATAGACAGACAGACAGATAGACAGACAAAGCAGTTTCTTTATTACCTATTTCTCTGGAATATGAATCCAGAATACAATAGACTAGAAGTAATACTCAGAAAACCAATATTATTAACATGAAGAAAGAAAACAAAACTGTTCTTTTATTGAATACCTACACTACAGTCTCCTATGTACTCATATACATAGTAAGCCAAAAGTTTATTTTTTGCATAAGATTTGTAGGTCATTCATTCATTCAACACTATTTTTTTGTGCATCTAATATGTACCAGGTACAGAAAGCAGTCTTCTCACCTTCTGTATGGCAAGGGCCCTTCTTACTTTCTATACCCAATGTCCTCTATGGTTCCTATAACAGATTAAAGATTCCCTGGCATTAGAGAGTTTCTGCAGAATTCAACAGGGAAATTAAAAAAAAAAAAAAAAAAAGGAGAAAGGTCTCCAGTTGAACTATGATTCTTGGAGTCTAAATGTGTTCTGCTCTCTTTGGAGCAGTCTTACCTGAGTCCAGGGGCTGTCGTGCTGTATCACTCTGCTGGTCCACATTACTAATTCAGCTAATTGCAGCAATTACGTGGAAGAATTGCTGCTAGTGAGAGAAGCCATTTTGCTACTCCCGAACAGACTGCATTCCACAGTGTTCATCAATTATGCCCGTCTACAGATTCACAACCACCAAATCATGCACTAGAGACTGCACACCATATGCACTGAGACCCTCCTGGAGTCACAGTGCATGTCTGTGTTGGATTGATTCTTTTAGTGCCCTCTTCTGCAACAGTCCTTGTCCTGTCCAGATCCTCGCCTTTGAAATTAGAGTCAGGATGCATGATGTGATTTACAGAGAAGGGACAAACCTGAGTCTTCTGGAGCCACACAAACTGTCTGGACTATGGAGAAGTTAAAAATTCTCCATCCTGCAGCATGGCCCTCTTTAGAGGAAAGAAACAGCAGTAATGATGGGAAGTGGGACACTATAGCAAATCTTTGATATCTTCATGGATTTTCTTATTTTTCTTCTCTCTTCTCTCTCTTTTCTCCCACCCCATCATTTGCCCTTTAACATGAGCAGCCAACCTCAGATGACCTTGTTTCATCTGCTGAATGTTCAAGTGATGATGAAGACTTCGTTGAATGTGAGCCGAGTACAGGTAGGTCAGGTCAGTCTTGTTTTGCTTGCTTTCTTCTTCATTTGCAAAAAAAAATAATACATACATATATGTGATTATACATGTGTTTTAAATATATTATAGTATGTTAATGTGTGTATTTTCTATATCTATATATGTATAAACATGCATATATAAATATTCATGTATAAATAAAAGCATCACATCCCATGGAAGGATCCCAGGGAAATTCAAAGTCCATTGATAGATAAAGAAAAATTCCATGGTAGACAACCAAACTTTGGTTGTCAGATGCACAGATTAACCACTGGGACAGGAAATGTATGGCAGCCAGTGTGCAGCTATGAAATTGACAAGGGAGTAAGAGCATGAGGAATTCCATATTGGAGTGAGATCAAAGAAGCCTGAACTCAAAGTGGAGCCATGGAAGATTGACAAATATCACTTAAACTTCATGAATTCTTCTGAGCTTAAGTAGCAAAAATAAATAAGTCAAAAGTAAACCAAGCATTTTTTTTCCATGGGATTTCAACAGCAGTTAACATGGTTTTAAATTTATACTAATTTTGTTCATTATATGTCTAGAGAACTTGTACAGCAATATAGTATAGTAAGTACAAAATTAGTACTGAATCATGCCATGTCAACAGCTGCGATGCTTCAAAATGTATCTTCCAAGCCGAAGTTGAGTAGACTTTGGTAATTTTAGATGCTTTAATGTGTACCTCATTTGGACCCAGATACATTTTGATGTTTTATGGTCTTATTTTATAGTGAGATATATATGATATAGTGTCCAATAGGCAACTGCAGACCCTAATTATTTCCTATCAACTTTCCCAAATCGTCTGTTTTGAGACTTACTCTAAATTAAACATTTATATGTATATAATAGAGAACAGATATCATCGAATTTCTGTGTATGTTAAGTAAAATTAAAAGCCTGAGGTTGGATCAGGATCTTATTTCTGCAAAAGCTAAAAGAAAGAAATAAAATTTTCCATTGGTTCTTTGGATTGCTTTAATTTTATTTTCCTTCTCTTTAAGAAAAGGCAAGGCATTGTTATTATTATTTTTTTTTGCTAATTCTAGAGAAATTTAAGTTTCATGAAAAGTAATATGTCAAAAATAAAAATCTTATATTCCTTACCCCCAAATTATTGATTTTAAATTTTGTTGAAGCCTTACTGCTTGGTTTCTTGCAAGTTGCTTTGGATACAGGAAGTTCTGTGGGTTTTATCCTTAGTATTACCCAGGGACATACCAATAATACATTGGCCTTACCATCCTGGAGTAATTTGTTCCTTAGCTGTGTGGAGGGAAGACAAATGTGACCTTGTTAGAGTTTTTCAGGTTATTGGGTAATAATCTCTATGTGATAACTAAGGTTTTTAACTCTAAAGGGCAGATATATCCAATCCACACGAGATCATGACACCAAAGTTTTGTTAGAAAATTAATTCATCTATTCATTCAATAAATATTTCTGAAGAGTAGGCAGGATATAATATATCTCCAGATTAGAGTCCTTCCTATTCCAATACTTTCATGAATGAGTTGTTAGAAAATAAAATAAAGAATTTTGCTATATAAATTACCTCTCCAACATAGTTCAGTTCAACAAATATTTTTTGAAACCTAGCTGTGTCTGTTAGACATGTGCTAGATGTTAAGGACTCAGAAATGAATCCAACATTTCCCTCAAAACATACGCAAAATGAACTGACTAGCTAACCAATCATTGAAGATACTTAGACTTTAATTAGAATTCTCTGTTTGTATCCTTTCTCTGATTTTCTTCCTTTCTTATCAGTAATATGTGTATAAGCAGCAATGGTTATCCCATCTTTAGAATATAAGCCATAACAATTCAAACTTTGCCGTTCTGAAGTATTATCACCATCTTTTCCAAAGAACTCCCCCCCCCCCGAAGAAGGTCATCTTCACATGACCCATGTCATCAGAGAGAGAAGGATTTTCCAGATCTCAGGTTCACAAGTTGTACAGTTCTCAGGCTGTGTGTACATAATACTATTTGATATTGAACTTGAATAGGCCCAAACTTGATTGGTCCCAGACTAAGTTCATTTGATTTTTAGTGGCTGTACATGTGTTCCAGCTCACTGAAATGCAGAGAACAAAAATTCAATGCCAGCATTCCTTAAGGAACATGGGGCAGTTGGGGAGAGGGAAACAATTTTTAAAATAATCTGTTGAATTCTACAAGGGAGCACAGGAGGAAATGTATTAAGTGGGGAACCCTGAAAGAGTTAACACGTAGCTCAAATAAATTTATTAATCCCTTCTGCCTGGGATAATTCAATTTATCACATTTGAAAAAATGAGCACTTTTGTTTCCTAAATTTATTTTTTTCTACTACATATTCCTGGTGAGTTTTTTGGACACACACAGAAATACATCAGAAGCGTTTTTAATACAGGAGACAAGTATCTCTATTGATGCAGAGATAAGAGGTTTGCCCTAAGGACCAGATTAACACTGGTGAGGGCTACCACTTTAGGATTATCAGGCCTTCTTCTATATCAAATGAAAGCTACCTCCACAGCCTTCCTATTTTTCAAGAACAATATGAATTAAAATCAGAAATATTACCAGTTTTTGGAGGCTCAGTGGGCACTGCCTGCACAACAATGGATAGTGGTGACACTTACCTAACTTTGACACAAATTGTTAAGCCTGAAATTCTATGTGAACACTGAGATGAAAATTCTGGTCTTATACAGCCTAATTCATTGCTTCAGTTTCTAAAATGTTAGTCTCTCCCAGGCTTGTTGCTTGATAGAAATACACTACATTGGCTAATTATCTAGCCCTTTTTCTATCATACTTAACCTTATCTTCTCTCAGTTAACGAGTTTATTATTTTTTGTTTTATTATGACGTGTTTCAAGTCTACACATAGTTTCCAGATTTATTTAGATTCACTTGAAACCCTCACACTTCATACATTTGGGCAGTTGAGTATATGCTCCAGTTCAATAACTCTTTTCTTATGGACATCAGGTTTTAAATGAAATGATTTTTCTAAATTTGTTTTCCTTACATCAAAATGAATTTTGTTGCTTCTGGTTTTGAGTCACAGGTAAGCAGTCCCCTTTCATACCTAGAACTCATTTAGGCACTTAGGGATACCCATGGTTTGGTATAGTTTGATTAATTAAATCATGTTTAAGAATAAGTGTTTTTTGGAGCTTAGTTGACATTAGTCTAGAAACCTTATGAATCCAGTAGATGTGTATTTTTTTTTTCTGGAAAATATGCAAATGAGTTAAAAATCCTAAACCATGAAAGCAAGACACAGAATTAAAGCTCAATTAAGATTTGTTGACTGAATTAGTTTGACTCAAAATATCTCATAATCTCAAATTAAAATTGGAGAACATTTTTTCTATCTCTAACTTCATCTCACCATAAACAGCTAAAATAAAGTCTATTGGATTACTTAATGTCAATGATTTTGTGCAACTAAATGTTGTCCTAACAAAATCTACATTTCTTCCACAAAAATAAATGTTCTTATCTCTTTTTTCCCTATCCATTTTTCTCTGGGAATTTAATTATTTTAGGAGTCACAGATATGATTGCATTTTTCTGAATATGTGCTTTAAGATTCCAGAATTGAGCCTTTTGACAATAAAACCAAATGAAGCCATCTGCATTCAGTGAAAATATCTAAAATATTTGAGTAACTACTGTCTATCTAAAATTGAGGGTCAGGATTTAACTCTTAATTTATAAATGTTGATTGGGTTCCCCATAAAAGAAGTCAGTAATTAATATTTCAAATTTTGCCTTTGCATGCAAACACTTTCCTTCCTAACTTCACTTCTACTTATACTAAATTGGAAAGTGAGCTCCTACTGTATTTTATTGTCCCTCTTATGGGTCCAACAAGAAAAAGATAAACAGTAAAGGGCTCCAATAACTATCACAAAGTGAAATTCTCTCATGAGATATGGAAGCCAAATAACAATTAAGATCTTTAACAGGTTCACATTTGTGATCTAAAATGTGGTCATGAATTCTGAAATTCAGAGAAATTGATGACAGTTATTTTTAGTTTCTTCTCACCCTCTCCCACCTGTCACTGCTACTAATATTCTACCTTTGGAAGCAGAAATAGCATCAAAACAAACATAATCTTAGATTACTTTTTGTACAATTAGAAATTATCAATTTCCCAGAGGTTACATATGTATAGTTTCAATAGTATAAAAGTCTTCATGACAGGTCTGATAGAACAGATTTTAAAAAATAAATAAATAAAAAGAAATATCTAGGACGCCTAAGAAATAGGCATAGAATGACTTAAATACCATATTGATTCATCCAGCTGTTATCTGGGAATACATTTTTCTGGTTGTCAATTAACCAGCCTTTTTGCCTTTGCCTTTGTTCAGTGTCCTTTAATCAAATCTCAAGGGATAGCACTTCCACCAGAGACAGGCAGTGAAAGATGAAACACACCCACCCATCGATAGGGTTGCACCGAACCCCTTTTGTAGTGGTTGGTTTGAAGGAAACGCTTAAACTAATAGCAGTAAAAGGAGACCACAAAATAATTACTATTTCCACAGTGGTTCTCAGATATATTTTTACTACTCAAATCTGTAGTCCTAGCAGTTTTATTTAGTGCCATTGCTACTTTGTTCCTTTTTGTTAGCACCGTTACAATACCTAATGTAGATTAGGTGAAATTAGAATTTAGCAGAACACCAGTTACAGAGCATGTTTGTAGCTGTGTTTTCCAGGTGAACTGAGTTCTTTGTCTTTATCAGTTTGCGATGCCTCACTAAGGTACTTCCAATATCAAAATCTGGCATTGAGTTTTTAAAAGCTCACCAAATGAGAGTTTTATTTACTAGAACACGGTAGAAAATGCAGTTGAAATGTTAAGACAAAAATAATTTCCTAGTGACAGATAAATAGAAATAGAGCCTTATTTACTAGAATCTGAAAGTGACCGAAGAATAAAGGTGCTGATCATTGGCCTTCAATA